GATGTCTGTCGGATATTTACAGATGTTTATCTGCGAAGGATCCTGAAGTATGCGATCCCTCGGAGTTCCAGCTTCAGATCCTTTTGCATACTTGCCGCATCTTTGGCGTATTACGTGGCAGATGTCAGTCGGATATTTACAGATTTTTCATTTATGCAAATTTGGGAATCTGATATACTCTGCCTGTAAATACAGGTTTGGCATGTAGGTAAGCCTTCAAGTAAAATAACTATATCTTAACATGTTTCCAATGGTTAGTTGTTGTTTTTTTGTCTTGCACTCCATTTAGTTTTTATTTGTAATACGTGAAGTGCTTTATATAACTATTTAAATCTGCTATAGGCTACAAATAGTTGGCTTCTAAGATCTTTAACATTTTAAGATCACCCAGTTTTTTACATCAAAATTAATGAGTCTTTAATTTTGGTTTATGTACCATCATCATGATGTACAAATCACAAGCTGGACCAGTAAGCACATTACCATTTCAATAAGAACTATGAAAAATCAGTATAATAAACAGTTTATGAAGCAGTCTAGTAAATACACAGTGGTTTGTATCTTCATAACACATACTAATGCAAACATATCATAGACATGAAAACACTGACCATGACTTTCTTAAAGATTTTCTTTTTTTATTAAAACACACACACACACACACAAAAAACCCCTACGGTTTCATTTGTAAAAAATACAACCTACGGTTTCATTTGTAAAAAAAAATAGTTGTTGGTGCCTCTTGGAGGCTGCCTCAGGCTGCATTTCCCACTGGGCACTCTGCAATGTAGCCATCCATTCTGCAGGGCTTTGTTTGAAGCTCAGCAAGTTTGTACTGGCATCTGTCTAAAATGTCCTAGTTTTGCTGCTCTCCCATTCAGGTGGATAAACTTTCCATGTGTCTTTGTCTTCGTGTCGGTCTCGTACTCATAGGCATGTTGGCACCCCCTCATTCTTCATCATTTAAAATGGAGCGACCAACAGACCGCCGTGAATTCAAAAGCTTCAACAGAAAACACAGAAAACACAAGGTCAATAAGAGCACTTTTTAAAATGTAATCATAACAAAAAGCAAATGCATCCATATCTCAATTCTTAGATTCTCAAACAAAAAGTTTACGGATGTTCCAAAAACCTTTTTTTTAATCTTCCCATATTGAATATTTTTAGTAACTCATATCTACCAATAGATGGCGCTTTAACACATCTTTACACGAGGACCCAGAATTTAATTAAAAGTTTTACTTCTTCTGCATTGCCAGAAACTATAGTTTCACACATCTACAATGATGTAATGTGAGACTAAAGCAAATCAGATATATTTTGCATTCTAATTCTAATTCTGTTTCCTCTAGGATTTTTTTTTATTTTTAGCTAGTTTAGTTTTAGCTTAACCTCAGTGCTAACAATGGCTCTTGGCTTGGTAGCCATTGGGGGTCCTCCCCCAGAAAATTTTGAATAAAATAGATGCCATTTCCTGCATTCTGGTGTATTTAACATCTAGTTTTACCTACATATGTAAACTATTCAATAAGTATTTTAGAGTTAATGGCAGAACAAGAAGTACCCTGAGACAAACATGCAGCATTAACACAGTGTGAACATTATTCAAGAATTGTTTCTATAAGAACATTATCAAATATTTTATGTGAACGTAAGATACTAGCAATAACAGCATTGTAAGAGGGGGACAGTTGAACCCGGAGGCCTCCACCTCTGTTTAATGATGGACGATTTCTTTTCACAAAGATGGCCTCCTTCTCTCCTCTCTCAGACCATCGTTCCTCTCTATCAAGGAGGAACGATGACTGAGTTTGTCTCAGCTCCTCAGACTGAAGAAATCTTTTTGATACAAAGAAGAATCTGTCCAGAGGAATTAATTTATTGAGCCTGCATCAGGACAATAATCTGTAAAGCTTTAGTATATTTGATAAGGAAAACTCATTTTGACTTAACCAATTAATATATTTTCAATGGCAAAATATGCAGGCTTATTTCATATTACTTTCATTGCAGGCTTTCTGTATTTATTGTCTTACTTTTAATGATAAAAATATAACGAGTCACTACTGTCGTTTAGAAAGTGTTTATATTGGAACTAATACTTGTTCACACACAGTTACAACAGCTCACCTGTTCCTTTATACTGACAGGAACAATCCCCTCATCACTACTGGCTCTGCTCCTGACACAATCACATTTTAAAAATTGTCATAACTCAGAACAAATCTCCCCTTTTTACAAAGCCTTATGATCAATTCAGGCCAGTTTCATTAAAGGGTTGAATCATTTAACATCTCAAGACACTTTTCATATACAGCAGGTCTTCACCAGACTCATACTCTTCATTATATAATTATAATAATATTCAGTCAATGAGTACTCTTACCTGCCCACTCTGTGCTGCGTGATGTGGAGCTGCATCTTGGGTGCTACAAGACAAAGATTCAGTTATGTGGCGTTGCATTATAATATTATTTAAATTATATAACAGTATGTTAAGTCACAATGCCACACACCAACAGTTCATTGACTTGATAACTTGAACGGTGTTTTGCAGGAAAATCCAGGAAAGTATTCTAAGTTGATTTGTAGTTCTAAACATATTTAGTGGTCATTTTTTGTCCAACATTGATTACTTCCAGCCTAGATCACAATTATATTAGCAAATATCCAAATATGTAACTTAGACAATGACATCATAAAACAGCTTTTAGAAAAGCAAATAGACACCTCTCACTGAGGAGTTGCCCAACAGTGGTCAGCAGCCACTGGTTATAGATGTCTCCCATTCCCCCTGTATGAGTGTCCATTTTATTCTGCTCAGTACAACTTTTCAAACAGCCTCAACTTGACGTGACGCTGACAACGCCATGTTGTAAAAGGTCGAGTAACACACCGGTAAAACTACATATTTTACGCTCTAACCACATGCTTGGTCAAAAATAATTAGAACTAAATATGTGAAGCAGCAACTTACTGAAAATCGTAGAGCCGCTTGGCTTTGAATCAAACACGTCGCGTTATCCGAGAAGGACCTCGTTTGTGTTATCCCGCCAATGTAATACCGGAAGTGTCTTCTTCTTCTTCAGTTAAACGGCTGTTGGAAAACGGTGCATTACCGCCACCAACCTGTAAGGAGTTTGGCGACGTGGACAATTTAATTTACAGTTAAGACTCAAAAGGGTTTACTTGTGTGTTTTATCTGTAAATTAAATTGTTTCATGGACTTTATTTTTTCATTTAAATAGCCTGCATCACACTTTCAAGAGACGTTTACCTAACAGAATAAATGAAAAGAAGAAAATGGACAACCATATGTTTATATTGTTGAGGTTTGTAAAGTCAGTAAAATTAAATATTTTATCATTATTGATGAAAAGTTGACATGAAAACCTCACATAAACTAAGAATAAAAAATAGCTAAATCTGTTGAATTGCTGTACAAAAAAACCAATATAGGATGTCACAGTGAGCTCATCCATGAAGTCATTTGCTAATCTGAAGAAGTTCCAATCTGTAGTTGTTCCAATCTGTAGTTGTTGGCTCTATTTTATATTTAAAGTATATGATTACAATTATAAATACCATTAGACTAAATGTGATTCCACATGTGATTATCATTGCCATCTTAAATGATCTTACAATTTTCTTACTTCTTTTGTTTGTTTTTAGGTCGTATGTGACCCATCACATCAAAATGAGGATTAAGTCAAATTTGGTCAAAATGAGCCCATTACATCTTCAGATTTGTGGCTTTCAAAGCTATATTTTGATACTGGATCATTCTGATATCATAAGGGGATTCAGAGATATGACTTAATTTGGCTTGTTGGTTACAATAATACATTAGGCTATTATTTGGTCTGAAACCTAATTGTTTAAAATTTTAATAAGAATAAAAAAAAAAATTAGGCTTTTTTTTTTTTTAGACAATTCAATCAAATGTTA